CTGTTACTAATAGCTTCTTGTTACTACTAGTAAGGCACCTGTTACTACTAGCGTGGCACTTGTTCCTAGTAGCTTCTTGTTACTATCTCAATCTCCCGCTCCCGACAAGGCGCTTCACAAGTGCCTCCTTGAACAGAAGGGCATCCAGCTTCGCAGCCATTGCGAGGGTCTCCGTCATCGTTGAAGAAGTTCTCCTGCATTAAGTTTCCGACACGATTGATGCAAAAAAGGAAGAAAAAACAATGACAGACAGTGCATCACAGTGCGCAACAAGGAGGAAGCGACTCAACTTAGAGTTCCTTCAGAATTGAAACAACTTAGAGTTCGTTTTCCGAAGCTCGAGAACACGGGTTTTTGGTGCATCCATTCCCCCCGACCTCACAAGTGCCAATCACTGTGCAGGTGGTAGGGCTGCTGCAATTGCGGCACTCGGTGCGTGGCACCTTGGGGCAGCCGGCCTCGCAGCCATTGCTGGCGCTGTCGTCTGCATCAAAGCGGTTCACATCACCTCGAATCCAGAAAGCAAAACAGAAAAGTCTGAGAAAATAAATCTGATAGGAGAAGAGGCCAAGACCTAAAGCCATAGCTTTCTTCATCTGAAATGTGTCTCTAGCGGATCACTTGCAGCTCGAAATCAGAACACGCTTCAACTAATCTAGTAGTAACAGGTGCCTTACTAGTAGTAACAAGGACGCTACTAGGAACAAGAAGCTAGTAGAAACAAGTGCCACGCTAGTAGTAACAGGTGCCTAGCCATTTCTGATCAGCTTGACCATTTCACATCTTCAGTGACCCTTTGTTACTAGTAGCGTCCTCTTGTTACTAGTAAGGCCAGGAGCCCCGTTCGTAGCGTCCGATCGCTCCTAGTAGAAATGCCCCTTGTTACTAGTGGCGTCCTAGTAGCTTGTTGTTCCTAGTAGCGATGCCAGGAGCCCCTAGTAGCGTCCTTGCTCCTAGTAGCGATGCCCCTTGTTACTAGTAGCTTCATCTGCCCTTTCACATCCCAAGGAACAGGAGATTGTAGTGCACAGATCTGCGCTGCTGCAGTCGGTACAGTTTCCATGCTCCACCACTGGACAGGTGGCTTCACAGCCGTTCCTGAGAGCAAGATTACAGAAATGTGTCATTACAATGCTAAGACATGGAAGAAAGGAAGTAAAAAAGAAAGGAATAAGTTCTGAGCTCTGAATGGTCTAAAGAAAAAGGAGTAAATAAGCAAAAGCCGCATGAAAGCTTGAAAAACTGCCTTCCACTTACAGCTGTAGGACTGGATTGCACAAACAGCACTCCACAGGCTTCATGGTCAGCTTTCACAACAGCTGATTAAGCAGTGAATTCTGGTTTTAAAAGAACTAAAGCGAAAGAAGAAAAACAACAGCCAAAAGGTCTAAAGTTTAAAGAAAGAAAGCAAGAAAGAAAGAAAGAAAAGCAGGAAAGAGCAACAAAGAGGCTTGTTTTAGATGTAGAGAGAGAGAGAGAGCATGAGCATGGAAATCCAGACCTAGGGCCAGGTGCTCGTTAAAACGTCAGCCGAAGTGCTCGATCTGTCCATCGGAGTCGAACCAGTTGGGTTCGCAAGCGATCTCGAAGCACGCCAATGGTTGGCCGCTACAGGCCATGCAACTTCCACGGCTGATGCTGGGGCACAACCTGTAGCGATCATGGTCGCTTCTTCTTGAGTCGCCTTTGCTAGTAACAAGTGCATCGCTAGTAGTAACAAGTGCATCGCTAGTAGTAACAAGTGCATCGCTAGTAGTAACAAGTGCATCGCTAGTAGTAACAATGCATCGCTAGTAGTAACAAGGGCATCGCTAGTAGTAACAAGGGCATCGCTAGTAGTAACAAGTGCATCGCTAGTAGTAACAAGTGCATCGCTAGTAGTAACAAGTGCATCGCTAGTAGT